AAGTACTCACTTTTCTTGCTGTCAGCCTCCTTCCTTACTCTCTGATTTGTCATGGGTATATGGCATTTCACGGGTATTCCCTAAAGGCCAGTGAAGTGTGCTTTGCAGCACGCATGGGTCTGATCGCTGGCATGAGCTCTGAGGGAGGCATCCCTCTCCAAATCACAGTAAATCACAGACAGAAGGAATAATGTCCCTAACTGTGCTTGAGCAGAAATTGTACACTGATGCTTTTCTGTATTCCTGGGCATATATGGCATCACAAGTGTCTTCCTTGTGCACTGAATGCCAGTATGTGGTTGAGCTCCGTCTGGCACTTGCAGTTATCCTTGTGGCCGTTGGCCTGGTCTGGGAACTCAACACAAGAGGCTCAAAGTAGGCCATGCCTGTATCTGTTCTGGAATAAAACAGTGGCAGCAAAGAACATCTTGCTGACATAGAAATACCTGCTTCGGGTGAGCTGGCTAATGCTGCGAGGAAACAGGTCCTTCATGTAGAGCTTCGGGCATGCCTGAAGGTTTGTTCCTACCTTTGCCAGTGACCGCTGACATGTAGCAGTTTCTCTCACATGGTGTGGACAGCATGACTTGCTCAGCCCATCTGCCTGAGGGAGTTTACAAACCAGGTAATGCTGCAGCCCAGCCATGGTAGTTCCATTACAGGGTCTTGGTCTCAGCCTTAGCTTTCTGTACAGCACATTTTACACAGTTGTAGAGACCTGATTCTGAGCAAAAACGCCAGGAGGGTGGCCACTGGACAGATGGAAGTCCTCTACACCATTTGTGCCATCGTAAATGTGGAGGCAGCAAAGGAGCATCTTCTAAAGCATCTGCTGTCTGTTGGCAGGTGCTTTTAACCAGGCTTGGTGTGTGCCTCTCTGCTGTTATTGGAACTGGGACTTAGATGCATTTAAAAATCAAACCTTAGTAAGAACCCAGCATTAAAGTGCCTTTGCAAGTAGGGCTAGGCTCCTATATCAGCTGAATAGCCTTAGTGGTGGAGATTTGTTTCCCGGAAGATGGGATTGTTCAAAGGCTCAGCTGTGTTAGTCTTTAAAGAACTAGCATTAAGAGGCCACGTCAAGACTAGGATAAGCTTCATGGCTTGTATGTGCTATTGCAGGGCAGCCTTTCAGAGGGGGCAGGCAGAACTGAGGTTTCCAGTAAAATTTGTGACATGCTCGTGAAGGAATGTGCAATCAAAATACAGCCTGGCTAGTCTGTACATGGGGCAGAACAAGTGCTGCAGACATGGGCTGCTCCAGCTACGTTTAAACTTAACAGTTAAACCAGGCAAACACCACCGCATGCCAAGCACTTGATTTTTCTTTTGTATCAGTGAAATATTTTGTTTGATCTCCTTTTTCTCTCCCTGCCAGAGCCCTCAAGACTTATGTTTTTAATCTTCTGTGGTTTGAATAATTTCTAAATAGAAATGTGAGGGTTTTGGAACCTCCAAGAGACTCTGGGCTCTGAGAGTTGCATCCAGGCAGTATCTGAATGTTAGTTTGCTACACTTTGAAGACTGCATATTGCAATGGAATTTGCATTGGCTATTATTTAGCAGTGATTTGAAGTATGATTTAGATATGCCTGGTTTAGTACTGTGATGAGTTTGTGCAGCAGAGATGAGCAATTTGTAAAGACAAGGGGATGAGAATGCTATGGGGGAAAGCAGTGGGACATCCCTTAGCTGGGAGAAGGAGGAATAGGAAAGATGTACAGGTCACCTTCTTCCCACTTGGAGCATGATCTGTCTCACGGAATAACTGCAGGAAAAGTCTTTCTTCTGGGGAGCAGCGTATATGTCAGCTGCTCTGGAAATGGGAGTGGGGACAGAGGGAGGTGAGTTTTATCCCAGGGGCAACCTAGAGGGGACAGTAACGCCATGACATGAAGAGAAGTAGGGTTGACTGAAGAGGAGTGGGAAGGGGTTTGCCTGCAAATCAGGCATCTATTTAAGCCTGCAGCAATCTCCTCTGCTTGAGAAATCTCCATCAAAGGATTCCTGAAGTGGGATGGTGAAAATGGGAATGAAAAAGGGAATGCTCAAGCAGAGACCAGTCTACTGCGCTCCTCCTGTTTAAGATCTAATGGATATTAGCCTTGTCTTTAAAGCACATAATGTTGCACTGATTTTATGACTCATCTTTCACAGCAGATGTTTTCAGTACTATTAGCAATACTGCAGTTTGGAAGTTAACCTGGGGTTGGAAACCTGGGAATCACTGGGCCACGGAGCCCTGTGGTGTACGTGCTTGCTGGTGTGCAATGCTGCTTTCAGTATGTGACAGCTCACGTAATTGAGGACGCTGCCTTGCAAATTTAACTTTGAATTGCAAATACCGTCACGATTCTTCTGTTTTGGGGGACGTGTCTGCATGGCTTTAAAGCTGCTCTGCTGCTTCAGGTTTGAGTGTGGGTGTAAGACGAGGGTAGGTATTCAAACCAAATATGAATTCAGATGCAGACCATGAGGGTGAACTGGAATGACTGGCCCGCGAGGTGAGGTATCTCTCAGAGGAACTGTGTGTGTTCCCTGCCAAGCCCTCCCCTCTGCTTTCATGGTACCAAGTGATGTGTTCTTGCTTTGGAGAAACCAAAGGGATTTAGATCTGCTTTTTCATGAAAGTGTGAAGAGAAACAGTGAGGAGGAGAGGAGGGAAGCAGCATCTGGGAGGCTTCAGGAATGGTGGGACTGATTGTTGTGCTATTGGTGCACAGGCTGGGCAGTACTTCAAAGTGTGATTTCTTTACTTGTTTCCCTGGGGTGCATGGCATTGACAGCTGGACATAGGAAGATGTTTTCTGATGTTTGTTTAACATCAGGGGAATTTACTGCAAGTACATTTTGAACTATGGAAGTCTAAGGACCATCTGTCTTGACTGTTTTAGTGAAAGTGGGGATAGTTCACAGTCGCTGCTTGGTGGATGGGTATAGAGTTTTTGTGTTAACCAGTGACTGCAGCCTGCTTACAACTGGCCTGCCTTTGTAGAGGAAATCACTGATCTAGCTGGCACAAGCCAGTTGTGGCCTGGTGCCTCCACCTCAGATAGGTCTGTTTGGCATCAATATGGGCACACTTAGAAAAACTGTGCCCTTGCTGGACATGGATGATGCCATCCCATATTTGCCTTTGAGAGCAGACCCTACCTGCCAGACTGATATCAAGTGATGGTGCTGTTGGGTGTCTCTGCTGTGGCTGGGCTACGCTACTCTGAAGACATGGTATGTTGATGGCTGGGGAATCTGCCTGGCTGGGGCCAGTCGTGTGGAGTGGAGCCAGGAGGAAACTTGAGTTGCTCTGATCAAGCTGTTGGGGAAGTGTTCCTTGGAGCTGGGCACATCTCTGCACCTGGCTATTCCCTCTCACTGTGCTGAGCTACGTCTTGGCTGGGACTACATGCTGCAAGGGTGCCAGCATTGGGGAGCTGTGTCCTGGATTCAGCTGTAACATTTATTTTTCTCCTTCCAATAACTAAAGTATAATATAAAACTACTACTACTACTACTAAGGGAAATGTTAAAGGGGAGAGAATACAATTGCTCACCACCCGTTGACTGATACCCCGCCCAACCCGAGCAGTGATCTGGGCCTTCTGGGTAACTCCCCCCAGTTTATATACTGGGCATGACGTGCTGTGGTATGGAATACCCCTTTGGTTAGTTTGGGTCAGGTGTCCTGTTTCTGCTTCCCCCTGGCTTCCCGTGCCCCTCCTCACAGACAGAGCATGAGAGACTGAAAAGTCCTCAATCAGGGTAAGTATTACTAAGCAACAGCTAAAACATTGGTGTGTTATCAGCATTATTTTCAGACTAAAGCCAAAACACACTACTGCAGCAGCTGCTAGGAAGGAGAAAAATAACTGTTACAGCTGAAATGACAACAACTTGCCAATTTGGCACTTGAACAGCTGACCTAAGGCATGCATTTCGCAGGGGGATACCATGCGGTGCGACAGCCCCCCTCTGCTACTAACTCAATACCGATATGGTAGTGCCTCCATTAGGGAATAGCTGATGGCTGGGAGCTGGGATCTGTGCGCTCAGCAGAGTATAGGGTGGCTCAGAGCCCTGACAGGACACAGCGGCAGTCCCGCGACACCCAAGGAGAGGGATATTAGGGAATCCTCTTGAGTATTTTTACCTGCTTCTGAGTATTGTTCTGATAGTGAAGAGAGGCACCCTGCAGCTGGCTAGCCATCGCAGAACAGCAGGGCCTTTCCAGCATCTAGCTAGCTCCAGCTTAGAAACACAGTACAGGAGCAATGGCTGGACAGCTGCAGTGGCCAGGGTTGTTCAGGGACAGAATAGCTTCAGAAAAGGTCAAGCATGCTTGTCTGTGGCTAGTTTGAGGTCCCTCCTAGAGTTTCTTAGAGGAGAAATGCGTTACTGATGCAAAAATCATTCTGAGCAGTGCTTTCAAGCTGTTTTCTTTCTGGTCCATGTCAAAGAAGGCGGTCTTGGCAGGGTCCTTGTAACATCGTTCTGCTTGAACTGGAAGGCAGCTGCTTTTTGGGTAGCTTTGTGGGTGTGGGTAGCTGTAGGATACAGATGTTCATAATAAGGCTTGTATCTGTCTCCTGATTTGCTGCTGATGCTGCAGTTCAGCTTCTTCCCTTTCATGGAGATGGGATCCAGAAGTTTGCGTTCAGTCTGCCCCAAAGCTTAATTAAAACACCTACTCCTAAAACCTCCATCTCCCTAAGGAGCTCTCAAGTCTGTGTACGGCTGTTCAAAGCAGAGACAGGAACGATGGCAGATGTTACCTTTGTGTGGAGCAGCATGTCTCCAAGCTGTAATCATCAGGACATTCACCATGGTTATGTGGATGAGACCTGCTTGGGTTGAAGAACCAGTAAGCCTTCTTAAAGTGCTCACTTGCATTGGTCATGGATGTTTACCTAGTGATGCAGAGGGGAAGGGCATGGTCAAGGCAAAAATTGCAAAAACTGCCTTGCTGATGCTTAAATGTTTTCCTTGTTTTCCCCTATTCACAGGAGAACTGCTGAGTCAGCCGAGACCAGAGGGACTGACGGAGATCATCTGTCCCAAGAACGGCAGCGAGCGAGTTAATGTTGCCTTGGTTTACCCCCCCACTCCTACTGTGATCAGCCCTTGTTCCAAGTGAGACCTGAAAGCAGACCCCCATTTCCCTCTCAGTAGACATCAGAAAGCCTACATAACACATGCCCTCACTAAGCACTTTTCCTGGAAGCAAGCAGCCCCACAGCCTGGGGACTGCTGTAGATATAGACAGCCCGCTCAAAGGATAAGAGGTACAGTGAAATGGGTTAAAGTGTTCCCTCAGCTGTGTTGTTGCTGATGTGAGACACACATAGGGTCAGGGCAGATCAAGAGATAATACAGTCATGGGCAGGTTTAGGTCAGGAACTCAGGAGGTCTCTGTGCTCACCCTCCTCCAAGCAGGGCCACCCTAACAGCTGGGTCAGGTTGCTTGGGACCTTGTTATAGGCAAGGGCTGATGACTGCCAAGGATGGAGGTACCACCTCATCTCTGGACTACAGAATTACACTGTGCTGCTGTGACTGAACATTTTTCCTTCTGTCCCATCTGAGGCTCCGTTATTACATCTTGGCTTTTATTGTCACAAAGATGCACTGCTGGCTTATGGTCAACATGTTCTCCACTGCGTCCAAAGCCAGCTGGATCCCAGGCTGTGGTGGTGCATGGGCTTGCCTTGTTCCAGGTATAGGGTTATGCACTTATCCTGGTTGAATTTCACAGCACTTGTTGGCCCAGTCCTCCAACTTGGTGAGGTCTCTCTGGACGGAAGCTCTGCCCTCCTCTATTAATAGTCTGCATGTGCTTCACTCCACAAAGTAGGGATGTGCTGGGAAAACAGAGCTGTGTTGTGGTGGGAACAAATATGGAACAACATTGACAAAACCAGACAGTGCCTTGGCTTCTTGATGTGTAGGTTTTTCTTGCAGAACAGAAGTGCAGCCGTGATCTGCTCTTCTCAGAGTACCACAAGGGAATTTGGCAGGGAGCTTAGAGAAGCAAGCCAAGTGTCTTGCTGGTGGCTGTTACTATGCTGCATGTAAATGCCTGTTACTTTCCCTTCAGTATCTGAAAGTAGTTTGGATGCTGCTCTCTGTTCAGTATCTTTTCACCCCAAAATATGCTCATTCTGCTGGAGAATAGCTTCGGTGATACTGGGCTGTTGAGCTGTGTGTGAAGGGGAGGTGCCCACCTGGGCAGGAAGCAAGTTTGCTGCCCTGATACTGAGCCACAAGTTGCCGTGGTCTGTTCATTTGCTCCTCCTATGTGTGTACTTGTTCCAGCACATTTCTAACCCAGGGCTGCAATTTGTGTTCTACTGTGCTGTCAGGCTTTGCCTGTGCAATTGTCCTCTTGTTCTCCAGCCTACCTTCCACAGTGTCTAATAACTGTGTCCCAGTTTTGCAGTCACTGCTGGCAAGAAACTTGTGTTCTCAAAAAGGCCTGTGTTACTTGTAAAGATCTTGCCCTCCCTATTTAGAAGCCTAGAGAAAATTGTGTGTCTTAGATTATTTATCACATGCACCATGAACCCTGCTGCTCGTGCTACATTACGTTTTCTTTATCTTCCAGATAAATCGTCAGTGCTGGTGCCAAAGGTTTTACACCGGGCAGAACATGGCTGATGCTCTGCAGTGCTCCCATCTCTCCAGTTGTGGAGTTGCATGCTGACGGGGATCGATGGGACTTTGGACTCTGAAATGCTGTGGGGCAGGGGCAGCTCTCAGGTGGGGCCTCATGGCTGGAGTGGACGCAGTCACCTGGAGGTTTGGGATGACAACGAGGCATGAAGCAAAATGATTGCTGCAGATGACAGGGCCACTGGCCAGATGGAAAGCACTGGGGATAGGATTCTGTGGACCCATTGATCACATGTTGAAAACCCATTTGGATCTCATGATGAATGTAAAAATGTTCTTGGTACCATTTAATTCAGACCTACTTGCAGGAGAGTCTCTTGAAATGAGCTGTAGCAGGATTCCCTGGATTTGTTCCTGGACAAGTGAGTTTTGTGGCAGTTGGACAAGGCTTTGTCAGGGAGGGGGGTGATGCTGTGAAGCCTTTAAAGCTGCTGCACTGCAAAAGGGTTGGCTGTGTCCCACACACAGGCTTGGGCAGTAGCTGGCAAAGCAGGAGGAAAAGCAGGCTGGGAAATGTTTCCTGCCTTGTGTGTTCACATACACTATGCCATGAGGTGGTAAGAATGTGTTGTAATCACACAGGGACACAAGAAGGGCAGTCACTGTGTGCCTGCCACCTGCCATTTCTTCCTTATTGATAGCCACCAAAAGCTCATGGTCTGCCATGTTTGGATGCTTTAGATTTGTCATTGTGGCACCCTCCTTATGTAGCAGCCACTAGACCAGTAGAAGTCTAGGTCTGGATCCTAGTAGAGCTACCCAGGCATCTTTGTGTGGAGACCTGGTGGAGCAGCATGTGGCTGTGTTGTACAGACTGGCCCTGATCCCCTTAGGCTGACCCTGGCAGCCATGCTTCCTGATTGGCCATTCTTTTCTGGGCCAGATGTGGGAAGGGTTGGGAAAGTGCAGGTTGAGCACTGGTACCACAGCACTGGTTTCTCTCCGGACCATGTGGTTTTGAGGGTTTCTAAGATGTTGCTGTCAGTTTGTGTCCTATAGCTGGGCTGTATGCGTCCTGCTCCATGCAAATACCTGGTTTAGTGTAAATCAAATAGGAGGCAGGCATTTCCAGAGCCAGAATCCCTTCAGCAGCTGCTGGTGAAGGTCTGAGAGATGAGGGACTTAAACTCTTGTCCTGTGATGGCAGAGCTGGGATGAGTGATACTGGTAGAAGGCAGTCCCCACCTGGATGCAGGCTGGCCAGGCCAGTGCAAGACAGTGACATGCATCCTGCCAGTACTTGCTGCTATTGCAGAGGTGACATTCCCCTTCTGGTCCTTCACATACCAGTCTTGTGTGCAGGGCTGCAAATAACCCTGTTAGCAGAATTTAACACTGGGAAATGCAAGGCAGAATTTACCAGGAGATTGTGGAAATCAAACCATTGTTGGGGGAAACTGCCAAATAAAAGTTATCAGCTTCATCAGTTCATGTCTTTTTCCAGGTATCATTCCAGCTAGGAGGAGAGCTTGGGCTCAGACTTAATTTGTTGATCTGCCAGCTCTGGCAATAGGCATTTAAGCCTTTCTTATGTCAGTGAGAAGTAGTGACTGATTGCGCTTCTGTATCACTGTAGATAAATTAGAGACTAGAAATTGCCTGTGGCACCTGGAGGGGATGAAAGTGGGGTGAGATCTCCGAGTGGTGTCAGGAATAGCGATAGGACACTCCCTGAGTCTTGCTGCCTATGAGGCATAAAGGGCCCTGCTATAGTCAGAACTTGTGTTAGAGCATTCCCTGCTGTCACTTCCTGTGCTGGGTGGCCTTCTCTTTGCTGCTACTCACCTCTCTCTTTCCATTCTCCATAGGAAGAAACTAGCGATCTGTTGCTGTGATGTTGCGTGGAAGCCACGTTGTAAAGAAACCACAAACTGGAATCCTTTTCCAGCCGGAGGCCTGTTTCCCAGTGCGCCCATCTGGTCTGGGATGCGTGAGCATTGAAGGAGTGAGAGGACAGAGCAGATGTCTTGCAGCCTGCTCCTTGGGACCACAGCCCTCCTGCCAGGGCATGCCACATCATCAGGAGCATGGCAGTACCTGGCCTGTGCAGGCACTAAGTTGGCACTGAAGCTGAAATGCCGGGAGCATGGCAAATCAACCTAGCTGGGTCTATCTAATATAAAATGGTGATCACTCATCCACCCACTGTTTGGTAACTGGTGTAACTGTGTTTTCATCTGTGGTTTTTTAATATGCAAAAGCCATTTAATTTTCTATGCAGTTAAAAAACATCTCCCCTTTGCAACTGCCAGGTGGGAGATCTGTGCAGGAGAACCAAGCCAAGTGGCTGAGAGTCTTTTTGATTTTACTGTCGCTCTCTTTTAAGGATGCATCCTGGAATCCTCTGCACACAGTGTCCCTTTGCTGAGCCCCTGCTTCTTAGACCCCACTTAACATCCCTGAGACCCAAGGATGAGGACCTCAATTTTTTAAAGGGTGTCATTTTTTGGGGAGTCAAGCCACATTTTTTGGGAGTCAAGCCACAAGGAAAAAGGGCTTGAAGGCAGTGCCCTAAAAGCAGAGATACCTGAGTTCAGAGCTTGTATTACATACCTGTTCTTGTCCCTGCTCAGAGAGTTACTGTAACTGAAACAGCTAAGGCCTCTGCAGAGCACCCTGCAGCCTTTACTGACAGTGTGTTATGAATAGGGCAGAAAGGACTGGGGCATCAGTTGTCTCTGTGGAGCTGACAGTGAATTTAACCCCTCTGGAATAGAAGAATCTCCTGGTACTAGATGCCTACATCACTCAAGAGGATTGTGCTGGTTTTGCCTGTTGGTGTCCAGACCCTTTATTTGCTGACCAGTTGATTTCCTACTGAAACTGGTGCAGACAGGTTTGGAAGTAGAGCTGGCAAGTTGCTTTGCACTGCAGGACTTTTAGCAGCTGGATCATGTCCTGGAGTATCTTGTATTATGCCCTGAAGCAAAACCTGGGATTCAAACCTGCATCCGTCCAAGTGAAACTCCCAGGATAACAACTTTGCCATCTGCTGGGTCTGTGTAATGAGAGAAACTGCATGTCCCTAAGCAGCACACAAACTTGTTGAGGTAGAGTGAGAGGGAGCTAAAGGGTGATGTTGCCCATCTAGCTCATCTTAGGGCTTGCCAGGGTACTTGGAGGGCCCTGGCAACTGCAGAGGGTCCTGGGTGATGGGACACCTTTGCTTTTACTGTGCTAAAGGCAAAGAGGTCAGAGAAATACGATTGTTTCCAACCTGCTGCAATGTCAGGATGCATTTGACTAGTCTCCTTTTGTGTTCTTTCTGTATTCTGTCTCTGCTCTGAGTTTGGGGGACTCGGCTTTTAAACAGAACTAGAGAACAGATTGGGATCTAACCTGCCTTGTGGTCTCTCAAATCAGATGGAAAAGACTGGGGGCTGTGGAAGCTTGGGTTTTCTCCCTTGCAGCATCCCCCATACTGGAGTTCCACGGTGGCTGTGAAAACTCAATAGTGTATGTGGGTGCTGCTTTCCCAGGAACCCAAGATGTGCTTGGCTGTGCTGTAGCACCAGAGCTTACATGAGGTTCCTGTCCTCTTCTCTTTGTACCTCTGAGGTAAAGTTTGTAATAGTGGCTCCTTCATCTGAGGAGTTGGATACAGTTGTGTTAAAGGGAACTGAAAATGGTGTTAGGAGCTCACTAAGTGAGATGAAAACCCACGAGCTCCCTTCTGCAGAGCCAGATCCCAGAGTTCAGCTCCTCACACGCCCTTTGGATGGGATCTTGGGCTGGCATCCTTGGAAACGCAGCGCAGGGAGATGGGGATGCTGCACTGCAGTAAGCACAAGAAGAGGCAAGCCACAAGTGGGCCTCCATGTAGCACTCATCATGCGCTTCATGGCTCAGTTCATGGACTGTAATTGCAGGTATTCATATACTCAACATCACTGGGCAGGACTCTGCGCACACGTACATGCATGCCCAGAAGCACATGCACCACACCCGCACTTGCCCACACATCCTCGCCAAAACAACTGAGAATAAAAGCGATCTCAATCTCAAGGGGAGGTTTGGCTCTTTGATTTGATTTTGCTCTTCCAGTGCCTCCTCGGGCCCTGCCTCTGGAAGGGTCTGCGCCTCATTGTACATCTGGGGTTTTCCAAATCCATTAGGAAAATTTGTTAGGAGCACTGTTAGCAAATGAGTCACAAAATCAGCGAGAGATTTGGCATTGAGTGGATCTGAGCAGGGAGCCCCTTGTTTGAGTTAATATCTAGGAACCATTGCCCACTCCAGCAAGGCAGGTGATTTCTGGGCAATGGCTTTTTCCCTGCTGTGTTCAGGGTGTTGTGTGGGTTTGTGAGGCCAGCTCAGTGGTTCTCACTGGTACCATCTTTGTTTCCTTGCAAAGCTTGGTTCCCTCATTCTTCAGAGGCGAGAGCAGTCAGGCTGATGGCCCTTTGCTTGTGGCAGTGGCTGCAGGGTGAATTAAAAGTAGGAAGTAAGTCCCTTCCCACACAGCCCCAAGAAGCTGTGTGACCCCACTTCCATCACCACTCTCATCTGAAGGAGACAAGACTGACCTCTGCGGCAACTCCACCGAGCATGAAGGTGCTGCATAGCATGTCACGGGGAAGGAATGTCAGCATCTGCAACAAGCTGCTCGTGTGCCAGAATGATACAGGAGGTGACACTGAGGGTGGGTGCCTGAGCCCCAGCCACAGCAGGGCAATGAGGAGGTGCTTGGATATTTAGGGGCTGGCCTAAGTGGACGTGTTGGGGTGCCACATACACTGCCTCTATCGCATGGACTGAAGAGGAATCTTTGAGTATGGGTCTAGGCTGTGGGAAGCACCAGCAAGAAACCTGATGCATGACAGAGACGTCTCTCCCCTTTGCCTTCACGTCCTGGCTAAGAAGGCCCCTGTGCCATCTCCCCTGCCTGCTTATTGGCTGCAGATTAAAGGCTACGGGGAAGAGCATGCGAGGCAATTTCACAGGGCAGGAAGGGGATGGGGTCAGCTGAATCGCCCTGGTGGGCGTGTCCTGGCCTCCGACACACTATGGGTGTCCTGGGTCCACATTTAGGACGCCCTCTGTAAAGTTCTTTCACAGAGAGGGCCGTGGAAGCATAAATACGGTGTCAGTCCAGTGCATCTTTCCCGCAACACAGCCAGAGCTTCCAGAGAGCTGCTGTGACCCCAAACCTAGGAGGCTACTCCGCCAAAGCTCGGGAGGGTATGGCAGGAGCAGGGCAGCAGAGGTGCTGCCGAGGCGCAGCGCTCGGGGCTGAGGCGATGAAGCAGGTTTCCATCCCAAGGCGGTAAGGCGGGAGCCGGTACCGAGCCGCTGTTCCTGTCTCACGACGGCGGAGGAGGTGGCACCAGCGGCAGCGGGGCCGTCCTACAGAGCAGGGGCGGGCCCCACGCTCTCCCCGCCCCCCGACGGGCGCCCGGCCCTCCGCCGGCGCCATGGAGGAGCAGAAGGAGAACCGCCTGCAGGCAGCCCCGAACGAGGCATCGGCGCCGCCCGCCGCAGCCGCCCGCCCGTCGGTGAGTGCGCTGTGGCGGCGGGAGGCGGCGGCTGACCCCGCTGGAGCCGGGCATGCGCCCGCTCCCGCGCCCCTGGCCCGCCGCTGCCCCCGCGCATGCGCCGAGGCCTCCCCGCGGCACTCCCATGGCGGCGGCGGTGCTTGCCACGGCCCGAGCCAGGTGCTCCGCGGTTCCGACGGGGCCCGACCCGGCCCGGCCCGGCCCGGTACCGTACCGAGGCGGCGCCTTCGCTGCCGTGGGCCCTTCCGCCTGCGCTCGAACCTGGGAAGGCTGCGGCGGCGGCAGCGGGCTCGGGGAGGCCGGCCTCGCTTACGTCCTTGTCCCACAAAGCGCGCGAATAGCCGTTTGGAGTGGAAGTGCCTGTAGTTCGTCATCTTAATTTACTCTTTTATTTATATTGCACATATTGGCCATCTGCCCGTGTGTCTCAGTCGGTGTAGAATCAGTAGCAGGGCCTTGAGCAACCTGGGCTAGTGGGAGGTGTCCCTGCCCATAGCAGGGGGGTTGGAACTGGGTCATGTTAAGGTCCTTTCCAACCCAAAGCATCCTGTGATTCTGGGTAGTTGAGGTGCCGAGAGGAATCTCGATGCTGGTTAAGGTTTTGCCAGCTCATACCAGAGAACTAACTTTCTGTGTTGAAATTAGGACCCCCATTTAGAGGTTTGTCTCAGAGCTGCTGATAGGCACGACTTCAGACACGTGCATTACTGTCCCCTTAATTCTGTCTGTCGGTTTTTAGGCTTCAGTACTGATTTCCTTCCCTGTCTATAAGCTAGTTCACCTGCAGCGTGAAGCAGCGTGATGCTTCACTGCGATTTGGTGCCAAGATCATGTGTAAATCTTAATGGTCTAGCCTCTTGGTTTCACCTTAAATGACCTTTATGTTTCTCTTTCTTCTAGGGTAGGCAGCATTGTAGGATCAGTGACCAAGAAACTAATGGGAAGAAGTCAACTGCCAGTCCAAACGACTTCAGTGATCCGGTTTACAAAGAAATTGCCATGACCAATGGTTATATCAACAGAATGACCAGAGAGGAGCTGAGAAGTAAACTTGCAGAGTTCAAGCTTGAAACCAGGTTAGGCTGATTTGTAAACCTTTTGGTTTATCTTTGAGAGCAGCAAAGACACAGGGAATGAGTATTTTGAAGTTTAGAAATACACCGTAAAGCAAAAAGCAGACACTTCACCAAACACCAGCTGGTTTGTGCGCAGTCTTGATGCAGCCTTTGTTGCTGGATTGTTGCATGTGATGCTGCTTCATGTGTTACCAGCAACGTGTGCTGCCTCAACTGCTAACACGAAGTGGAACAATATGTAACTGTAGGGTACTTCTCAACACATATTTGGTCAAGTAGAACTGCAAGGGTTCTCAGGTGGTGGTGCAGACCTTCAGGGTATAGAAACTCGCTTCAGGACATACACAGTTTTGTTTACTGTACACACTACAGATCTGATACTGGCTGGAACCGCTGTGGTGATAGGGCTTGGAATTTAATTGATGCAAAGGACAGGTACCTTTAGATGGCGGATTTGCTAATCTGAATAGATGAGATAGAATAATGAGAATAGGTGAATATGTTATTAACTGGATGTGTGCTCACTGAGGAGGAGGAGAGGGCTGGGAATATAGAGTGGTTCTTGCTCTGTTGGAAATGACCTGCAACACACTT